TACTGGCTGCTTCTAGGACTTAGCTATCAGAGAAGCAAATCTCTGATTTGTGTTACATTTTGGGATGCTTGTAATGCTATAGGATGGTTTTAGGTCTCTGGAAAAGATGTGTTGAATGGGGAATAGCTGGTCATATGGAATTCTTGCTTTGAGCTCTTTAATAAGTATCCATGCTGGGCTAGTGAGATGGCTCAGTGGTCTAAAGCACCTACTTAGAACAAGCTCAGCAAAGCACAGGGACCGTGGTTCAATCCTCCAGCACCACATGCCAGCCAGCCCCCCCCCCTGGTGGGCTGAGCTGGCCACACACACACACACACACACACACACATAAATAAATTAAATTAAAAAAAAATGAGACTGTTGAAATTTAAAAAAAAAAAAAAAAGAAGTATCCATGCTGAATTTGAAATGTTTGTACTAGTTTAGATCCCCAGTGACAATGTAGGAGGACTAGCAAAAATAAAGTTAATGTGAATCAACATAAGGATGGTCACGAGCTGACAGGATGCAGGAGGGAAGCAGCAGGCAGGACTGCAGAGGAGCCACAGGACACACTGCAGCATGACATGGGTATTTCCTGCTTTGTGTGTGTGGTTTGCCAGTGTGCATGCCTGTTAATATGTCTCAGGTTCCCACATTACACTTGGGCAGTTTATGCTATACCTGGTGAAGCTTTTACAAATAAAGAACATATGAAAACAGAAGAGCAAGAGACATAATGACATCTGAAGAGCCACTAATAGGCATCAACATGAACAAGTTCCATTTTCTTTCAGCTAACAGCAGAATCCAACACAGCCACACATGTTCTCACTACAGGAAGAAGAAGCTAGCAACATTTCCAGGTGCGTCCCTGTCTAGGAGTGGGATCAGGAAAGTCTTCCCAACTTAAAAAGACTGTAGCAGAGACATAAACTGTAAGATATGGGATCCTATGGAGATGATACAGCAGTTTATGACACTTTTGTTATTTTACATGACGACAAAGGGAGCAACATCAATAACAAATCCATCCTCTGTGTACATGCCAAGAAGTGAGTGGTCAAGTGATACGTACAGAGCAAGACTATCACACAATTTGGTATTATTTTTGTCATATATATAATTTTAATTTTTAAACAGTAGAAAATAGTGATAAAACACAAAATTTAAAATGATAGAGCATTTCACTAAACCAAGTACGAATTTCATAGTAGTTGTTGTAATGCATAGTGTCTTCAAATTACTTGTTCGTATTACCACATATAGGCATGCAAAATTGGAAAAAAAGAAATACATAAGAAATTTAAAAGAAAAAAGGGACAAAGAATTCAAAAAACTAGAGAAACAAAGCAATAACTGCTCCTTTCCATATACCAGCAGACTACAGTACAGTGCCACAAACTATCCTGCCTACACTGACGTATCTTTCCCCTCTCCCTTTCCTGACCTTTTCTTCAACTCAGTAGTTCCTTACTTTGAACAGATTCATTTCCATTTCCCTCTTTTTTCTCTCTTGAATTATGCCATCCCTGTCTTTGCCCAATGACTCATCAGCAGAATGGTCATTTTGGCAGGCACAGAGAACCTGCATGTTCTGCAACACACACTCCCATTCAGAAAGCCAGATCAACTACAATCACTACTGAACGCCTGATATGCCAGCAGCAGAGGCAAACACTAATTCCCAAATATGACACCATTTACTTGGGTAATCAGCTCTTGACCAGTTAGCTTGATGTCTTCTAAAATGGAAAGGAGTATGCCTTGTCCTTACTTGCATAATGAATTATTCTGGATATGGATTTGCCTTTCCTGCATGCACTTTTTCTCCCAAAAGTCTCATCCAGGAATTCATACAATGCTTTATCAACTATCAAGAAATTCCACACAGTAGTGGATCTCACACCAAGGTACACATTTGACATTCAAAGAAGTTGGGCAATGGTGTCACAGAATTCGCTGGTGATACCATGTCCTTCACCATCAAGCAGCTAGGTTGACAGAAAAGTGGAATGGTCTTTTCATAACACAGCATAAGTTAAGAGGCAATACCTTTCAGGACAGGGTAAGGTTCTTTTACGATTTTGTACATGTTTTGAGTCAACATCCACTATACAATACCATGTTTTCCATAGCCCAGATTTATGGATCTAGAACTTACGATCCAAGAATGAAGTGGTGAATTAAGTGTTACCACTCCCATTACCTGTAGTGACCTACTAGCAAAATTTTTACACCCTGTTCTCATGACCACATGATCTGCCAGCTTAGAAGGAAGTCTTAGTTCTAGATGATTTAAGCCTTGTACCAGGAAGCACAATGATACCACGGAGCTGAAAGTGAACAATTCCCTTGGTCATTTTGGCCTCCTTAAGGCTCTGAGGAAACAAGTTAAACAGGGCATTACCTTCTGAGAGGAATGTCTGACCCAGGCTGTTAACAGAGAATTAAACTACTACTCCACAATGCAGGAAAGAAAAATATATACTTTGCCTGCAGGAGATGTACTAGGGTGCCTGCTAGGATTACCATGTCCTCTTATTCAAGTGCAACTATAAAAATACAATCCTTGCAGAATATCCAACAATCCAGAAAATTGGATAATAAAAGTATAGATCATCATATCAGGGAAAGAACAAAGACTTGCTTAGGTACTTCCTCAATGACAAGGAAATACAGAAATGGTGGTACAATTCAATTATAACTATCAGCTATCAACCCAAAATCAGCTACAGAAACAAAGATTCTAACTGTAACAGTTCTTTCCTAATGTCTCTATTGTAGTACACTGTTGATAAACTTACTAAAGTTTAATCTTGTTCAACCTATGTTCGAGTGTTCCAGCTGTGAAATGAGGAGTAAGCATCACCCAAAGAAAGCATCCCTCACTTGTGCAGAAGGAATTAGTGTATTTCCATTCAAATATAGAACAAGTATATATTAGGTGCATTTATGAGTTCCTCTTTTTAGCTGGAGACTTTGGTTTAGAGAACTGTGTTCTGGCTGTGAAGCAGTCAAGGGGTGGATTGTAATCATTAATTGACTGCATCAACTTGGACACTGCTTGTCCAACTAAATTTGCTCCACAAATTTCAGGGTGTGGAAGACTAAATCGAGGGAGGATTGTTGTCAGAAGGTTATAAAAATGAAACAAAATAGAAGGCTTTTGTTTCTAGAAAGTAGCTTTAATATTCCTGATCACCCCGGAAATCATTTCCTGGCTTCTTCAGTCTCCAGCTCAAACAAGTCTTCTTGCACAGACCCTTTGGTCTCCTGACAGATTTGCACGGGACACTACAGTGGAGTCTAGACCTTCAACTAGATTCTTTGGAAATTCACTTTGTAGACAAATGTTTTAGATCATTCTACACCTGATTCTGTGGGAAGCCATTGAAAGCAAATTTTGTAAATTCATATATATATATATATATATATATATATATGTATCTTGTATTAAGTTATAGAGTAATTCATAAGTCTACACACTCACCATGGTCCACCTGATAGGTTACAATTAAATACTCATAGCAGTATAGTTTTTCTTTGTTGTTACAAGTGGTAGTAAAATGAATACAACCTCACAAGCAATAGTAATAGAAGAATGAAATGCAAGGTAGTAAAATTAAGAAAAGTGTTGTGAATCATAATAGTCACCCCAACATGAAAAAAACAGGTAAGATTATGCATATCATATTATTGTTTTTATATGTGCAGGCATTTTGTTAGAATATGATAAATAAAACATTTAGTAATCTACAAGTTGTGAAAACAAAACTTTTCAAAATTTTTTTTACATATCTCTAAATATGCATACAGGAATAAAATCATATTAAAAAGTATCTTTTCTTATACTACATTTGAATTACGTATGCCAAGAAAATTAAAATCGAAGCCATTGGGAAATGGCATCAATTAAAAACCATAAATAAAGGGGATTTTTAGTAGGATACATTTCCTAATAGTAAAAATAAAATTAGAGTGGCATAAATAGTAACCCTAATTGGAAATGAGAAAAATACATTTGAATTCACCATCATTAAGTAGAAGATAGTTTAAAGTCAATGATTTCCAAAATATATGTCAGTGTTTTATAATAAAGACTACAGATATAAACTTCTGATATTCACAAGTGGTTTATTAAAGACAGCTGAAAGAATACATTTTAGGATATCTCCAACTGGGAATATAATTTCTGGAAAATTTATTAAAGATTATTGACATCAAAATTTTCATTAAATCTATACAAATCTTTACCACATGATGAATTTACAAAATAAGCTTAAAGATACCTATTTTCCTCAGTGTGACTGCATTTAGTTAATAAAAGCTCCGCAGTAACTACTTTCCTCAGTGGTTATATAATATACAAGGTTTTCTAAATCAGTGTAAGATAATGGCCGTGACTCATCCTCATGGTTGACACTGACAAAGGATCTACAAAGTGCAGTACAGGGTTACAGGATAAATCCTGAGGGGACTTGACTGACCTTATCAGATACAAAAGTTACATTTCTTGTTATACAGATCTTGCTTTATCTTGGTCTTAACGATCCAGCAGAAAAATATAAAAACAAGGTATATAAAGTAAAGCCATATTAATATGCTGAGCTGTAAAAGGCTCATATCAACAACTTCTGTGCATAACCCACTACTGTTGTGGACTGCTGGACTGTGTTGGATTGTTTTGCTGAATTCAAGCACCTATAGTATTTAGATGCCAATGGAATACCCATCTCTGACAGGACTAAACAAAAGAAGGGGATACAAAGGAAGGACCATTTTGTATTTGTATATACAGAATAGGATAGATATAAGGCTACTTTCGCTTAATTCAATGAGAAGAAAGATTTGTAGTAATAGTGTTTGGACAGGATATCTGTCTGCTTCTTGTACTGTGGATAACCAATAAGAAGATAACAATGTACAAGGTATTAATTATTGAATATGTCCAGTTAATCAGCTTTGAAACTTTCTCATTCATATTTGATTCTCAATAAAATAAAATAAAATAAAAATAAGTCAGTGAAAGATCTAGGCACATCAGGACACACTATCAAAATTTTTCGAGCATCTTAATCATATAGTTACTCACCTGTGTGAGCTCAAGTCTTTTACAATATTTGTGTATAGTAAGTCATTCAAAAATTCACACGAAAGGTTTCGCTCCAGTGTGAGCTCAATCCCCTGCCACACTGCCTGCACAGAGTATGGTTTCTCCCCAGTATGAGATCTTTCATCAATGAGACAGGAACAGTGTTGGATGAATGCTTTTCCACATTGCTTACACACATGTTCTATCTCCCAACTGTGAACTCTTTGACACACTTTAAATTTACTCTGTTGGCTGAATGCATTCAAACACTGTTTACATGCATACAGATTCTCATCAGAGTAGCTTCGTTGATTCACCTTACAAGAACGCAGTGTAGTGAATGCTGTTCTACTTTCTCACATACACATGGATTCTTGCCAGTGTGATTTCCTTTTATGTTCTTTACAGTAACCCAGTGTAGAGAATGCTTTTCCACATTTCTCACATACATATGGTTTCTCACCAGTGTGAATTCTTTCATGTATTTTACAATAACCCATAGTACTAAATGCTTTCCCACATTGCTTACAAGAATAGGGTTTCTCCCCAGTGTGAATTCTTTCATGTATTTTATAATAACTCAGAGTATTGAATGCTTTCCCACACTGCTTGCATGCATACAGTTTCTCACCAGTGTGAATTCTTTCATGTATTTTAAAATAACTCTGAGTACTGAAAGTTTTTCCACACTGCTTACATGCATAGGGTTTCTCCCCAGTATGACTTCTTTCATGTCTTTTATAATAAGACAGTGTAGGGAAAGCTTTTCCACATTTCTCACATATATGTTGCTTCTCACCAGTGTGACTTCTTTCGTGTAATTTATAATAACCCCAAGTAGTGAACGCTTTCCCACATTGCTTACAAGCATAGGGCTTGTCCCCAGTGTGAATTCTTTCATGTAATTTACAAGCACTCATGGTAGTGAATGCTTTCCCACATTGCTTACATGCATACGGTTTCTCGCCAGTGTGCACTCTTTCATGTATTTTATAACAAGTCCGTGTAATGAATGCTTTTCCACACTTCTCACATACATGTAGTCTCTCACCACTGTGACTTCTTTCATGTACTTTACAATACTTCAGAGTACTGAATGTTTTCCCACATTGCTTACATGGATAGTGTTTCTCCCCAGTGTGAATTCTTTTGTGTACTTTATAATAACTCAGTGTAGTGAATGCTTTTCCACACTTCTCACACACATGTAGTTTCTCACCACTGTGACTTCTTTCATGTACTTTACAATACTTCAGAGTACTGAATGTTTTCCCACATTGCTTACATGGATAGCATTTCTCCCCAGTGTGAATTCTTTTGTGTATTTTATAATAACTCAGTGTAGTGAATGCTTTTCCACACTTCTCACATACATGTAGTTTCTCACCACTGTGACTTCTTTCATGTACTTTACAATACTTCAGAGTACTGAATGTTTTCCCACATTGCTTACATGGATAGCGTTTCTCCCCAGTGTGAATTCTTTTGTGTATTTTATAATAACCCAGTGTAGTGAATGCTTTTCCACATTTATCACATACATATTCTTTCTTACTAGTATGAATTCTTTCATGGATTTTGATACCACTGGGAGTGCTGGAGCCTTTTCCTTTTTGCTTGCATACAAAGGTCTCCATTCCAGGCTGAGTTCTTTCCCTAAGATCATAGTAGGTTTTCCCACTTTGCTCATAATGATAGAGATTCTCTCCAGTCTTTCTCCTCACATGCTTCTGAAAGGACTGGAAATCACTGCAGGATTTTCCATGTTCATCAGAATTAGTTATTTTCTCATCAAACCCCATATACTCACAGTGCTTCAGTCCAGTGTGAGGTAAGGCACATCCATTTATGGATAAATGCCCAGCTGGGGGCTTTCTATAAAGAAGGCTTCCAGCTGGCTTTGGAGCAGCCTGTTCAATCTCTACATTCTCATATGATGCCCAAAGCAATACTTTTTCATGTTGACTCCAAACTTTATTTTGATCAAATGTTACTTTTTCATTTCTTTAATGAAAAGAAAGAACAAAATTATCAATCATAATGAAAAGTTCTTTTTATCGATAATCTACCATAATATATCCTGGCTTGAGGTTGGATAAAACATTTTGAGATTGAATAAGCTGAATGCCTTGGAGGCTTCCTCCAAAAAGACCCATTTTCCAAAGAATCTCAATACAACATTCTTGTTTGCGGTAACAATAACATATGTGGGTGTTTTCTTTTCTTTTCTTTTCTTTAACATTCTATTCTATTCTATTCTATTTATTTATTTATTTATTTATTTGGGGGGTGCAGAACCAGGGATTGAACTCAGGCCCTTGTGCTCACCAGGCAAGCACTTATTCTACTGAGCTATCTCCCCGGCTCCTGGGTGTTTTCTAGGAATTTTAAATTCCATTTTTATGGAGAGTGTACTCAAAAATCTATTATTATAACAGTATGATTCATTTGCATTTTGAATATTGCTTCCAGGTCAGAAGTTGTTTAGATAATGTATACCTCTTATTCAGATAGACAGATAGACACAGACAGACACAGATATATCTTGAAGATGAGTTCCTCTCAAAGTACAAAATTTTTTTTCATATGCCTATATAAATTTCATAAATGCAACTGAACACATTTTCATGATATTAGTCACAACATAATTTTATCCTGCTGTATAAGATAATGGCTCTTGTTGAGTAATATCGCTTCTAACTTGACTTCTTGGATTGGAATATTTCTGTATTTAATTGTCAGAATACTGAACATTAACCTGCATGGCTCATCTTAACAATTTTTGAAAGATGAAATAAATTTGACCATAGCCTCCTTTGTAGGGTTTCTTTGCCTATAGTATTTCTACCTCAATACCGCTATTTAGTGAACGTTAGCATTATTTATAAATAAGTTACCTTAGATTTCTTAAGCAGTTTTTGTATTCTTCTATTTGCTGGTTGTCCCAGGTCATTCCTAGGTAGTCACCATAGAAATATAAAAAGTTACTATATCATCACATAGAAATTAGCAGACAGCAACTAGATTCATGGAAAAATGTAAACAGGCCTAAGATGTTCTTAAAAATGTTTTTATATTCTATTTAAAGAATCTATACCAATCAGCAAGAACCAATGCTCTGCCACTGCACACATGAGAAAATGCCATCCTTACCTACAGCAGTCATATGCATAAATGTCTCCCACATTACATCTTGGTAGAGCTCCTTCTGAGACGGATTCAGCACAGCCCACTCCTGCTTGGTGAACTTCACAAGCACATCCTCCAGGGTCACTGCCTCCTAAATAACATGTACATACTGTTGTTTTTTGGTGGAACTCAGGCCCTTGTGCTTGCCAGGGAAGCGCTTATTCTATGGAGCCATCTCCCCAGCCCCACATGTACATATTGCGAAAGAAGGTTGAGACTCATGCCCTGAGATGTCTGAACTCTTCTTGTAATGAATTCCAGCTAATTCCTTCAAATCTTAAATTCATGCCTTGGCCACCAAGTATATGTACATATTTTCACACAGCAATTCTGAGGCTAGGTTTGAACTCAATCCTATAGGAACAACAGAATAGTAACTGGCTGCACAACACGGTCACAGAGGCTGCCTATAAATCATCTTCTACAAAACACAGGGGCAGATATCTGATGAATGGTTCTGACTCACCACAGTTGGTAAGTGTTTTCAAACCTAAATCTTCATATAGTTAATTAAGTCCTTCTTATTTTTTGGATAGTCAAAGGCTGAACTTTGAAATTTGACATTGATTTCATACCAAAAAGGGGAATGAAACTTTAAATACATTTTATGAATAATAATGCAATTGTCAATGGAAAAACAGTATTAGAGTTAATCTGTGGATCAGTAAAATAGTGGAAGGGTGGCATATTATAGCTCAGTGACACCTAATAATCACCTTGCACTGACATATAATAAATTCTAGGAGCATGTAAGAGATTGCCAAGGAGAACAACAGAAATGAAATATATTTGACATAATAAAAATGAAATATATTTGACATATAAAAATAAAAAATAAACACAACACTGACAAGCAAGGTCAGGAGGATCACAAAGAGTTTGAAGCCAGCCTGGTGTACATAGTGAGCTCAAGCACAGCTTGAGCTACACAGTAAGACACTGCCTCATAAAGAAAATAGGAGAAATTGAATGTCATGAAAATAATGGCAATTCAATAAGTATAAAATATTTGCTCTGTATACAATCCAAGGATTTTGTAATCAAAGTAAACATCAATGAACACAGACATAACATATAAAAAAATACATTTTACAAATATATATACAAAAATACAAAAATAAAACAAAGAGTAAAAAGAAAAACACTAAATATAAACCAAGGTCCATGCCTGATTGCTTCAGAAATGTAAATGAAAATACTAAAATTCCACCTGACTCCAGAAAAAATGGCTATTATCAGAAAATCAGAGGACACCAATATGAATTACTAACACTATGCTCAAAATAACTGTCATTTTGGTCTTCTAAATGCGTACTGTTTCTTGTGTCTTATCAATTATTGCTACTCTCTTTAAAGTAAATTCTTGCTTAAAAAAAAGGCAACAAAAGAAAATGAGAGACAAGAAAAAAAAAGTCATAAGATTGTCCTGCTAATGTAAAAACATGTAATTGTTTTTTAACATTCTATAAGGATTCAAATTTTAGAATATCCATGGTTGTTGGAAAATAGCAATTCCATTTTATGGAATTGGTGTTTGATAATCAGACAAATAATGATGTTAAACTTAACTGCCTCTGTTACAGGGTAATAATATCATTAAGCTTCTCTTCTGGGTGGTTTGCATCTAGAATTTTGCAAACTAAAAATTAGAGAGATAGATGGGCTAAAAGGATAACCAATATTTTGGTTCTAGCCCTTCAAGGTCTGTGAGGACTTAGGACGTAAGAGAACCTCTGCTGTGGCATCTTGTAACTGGTGTCCCAAATTTTCTGATCAAGGAGATTATGGGGCCACAGAGGAAAGTGGTCAATGATATAGAGTGTGCCTATGGAGAGTCACCTAGAGAAAAAGTTCTCTCAGGCTTTTACAGAGAGCAAATTGGTCAAGCAATGGCCGTTACTCAGCCAGAAGGCTGACAGTGACAAAAGATATACAAAGTGCTGTACATAGTTTCAGGGTAAATCCTTGGGGGATTTGACTGACCTTGCCAGATAGTGAAAGTTACATTTTTAGTTATACAGGTCTTGCTTTAACTTAGTCTTAGCCATCCAGCAGAAAAGTGTAAACACGATGCATAAGAGTAAAGCTGTATTAATATGCTGAGCTACAAAAGGCTGAAGTCAACAACTTCTGACAATTGCCAGTTGTACTGATAACTCATTATTATGGACTATATTGGGTTATTTTGCTGAATTCAAGTACCTACAATCTTTGGACTGGCTTCAATTTTTTTTTTTTTTTAAACTGGGGATTGAACTCAGGCTCCTCTGCTTACCAGGCAAGCACTTATTCCACTGAGCCATCTCCCTGGCCCCAACTTGGATCTGGTTTCAATTGTGAAAAAGTCCTTTAAAGACTTCTCCAAATACAGCTTCTCTAACAGCAATGAAACACCCATCTCTGACAAAACAGAGCAAAAAAGGAGGATATGTTGGGAGCCACAGAAGCTAGGAAATTGATCAAATGTGTGTAGGTGGGACTAGGCCTCTTTGCCTAAAGCAAACATGATAACTCAGTCCTGAGATAAATATCCTGTCTGGTTAAGGTCAGCTATTAGTTGCGAGGCAACCTTGTGTCATGTGTTACTAACTTTGCAAAAGTATAAGGACCATTTTGTTGGGAAAAAATAAGAAAAGAAAAAAGAAGAAACAATCAATAGGAAATGCTGGAGGGGCTATGAGGCACAGGGAACACCTTTCCACTGTTCTTGGGAGTTTAGACTGGTGCAACCACTATGGAAATTAGTGTGAAGCGTCTTCAAAACACTAGGAATAGAAGCCTTATTTGACTCCAATATTTCCATTTTTGGTAGTTTCAAAGAACTAAAAGTACTATACCATTGCAATTAATGCATAACCGTGCTTAGAGCAGCATAGTTGCTAATAGCTAAATGTCAAAACAACCCAAATGCCCATCACCCATCAAAGAATATATATATATATATATATATATATATAGCCATAAATAAACTGGAAGCATTCACTGCTCAAAGAATAGCTTTTCAGACCATTCTCTTGAGCAAAATAAATCAAACATAAAGGCGTAAATTTCACATGTCTCACTGGTATAAAAAAACTGACAATGTAAATGAGAATAAAATTGTACAAGAAACATGGTAAAATGGAAAGAAATTGTTCAAAAGGAAAGAGAAACTAGGGAGGGGGCAGGGATAAAGGAAGGGATGGAATAGAAAAAATATGAAAATAAAGATGCAATGGAAATAAAACTTCATGCTAGTGGGAAAAGTGTTCAAGGTAGAGGAGGCAAATGAGACAAAAAAGGAAAACCCAGGTATATGATGTACAGGTACAAATTCCCTATTATAAATGTAATCACTGTGTATTTTCAAATTGTACCAATGAATGGAATAAAATAAATAAGAAAACAAGGTCCATGTCTTTTTTTTTTTTTTGGAAAGAAAGGTTTATTTAGTTCACAGTTACTGCAGGCTTCAGTCCACATTTAGCTGGCTCCAAGGCAGAGCAGCACATGGCAGAGAGCAAATTTTCATGGCAGCAGTAAAGAGCCAAGGTCCACGTCTTCTTTGAGGAAATAACTGAAGAAAGGTGAGGTGTGGAAGAATGAAATAAGACTTAATACACATTAGGCTCCCACTGATACAGTCCATTCTCACTTTCTTTACTAAACTGTCAGACCTGTGACTCCTTTCCGTAGTCCAGAGAATGTATTGTTCTGTTATTCATGTATATTTATGGAATTTTTGTCAACTAAACTTAAAAAAATCTTCTATCTCCTCAACAATGGACCTGATGAAAAAGAAGTTTTCCTTCGATTCAATTGTTAGAATTTATGGAGAATGATAAGGAAGGAACAAAGACTTAAAGCATTTTCTTCAGCAATTTCCACAACACTGAACACTCGAAAGGTTGGAAAACAAGAACATTAGTTATGGACAATCACACATGGTAAACTTAGGGAAGCTGCCAAAAGAGGAGTGTGTTGACAATAATGTAAGAAGGTTTCAGTCTGGAAGTGTGTTTGTCACCTGGACGCTTCCATCCATTACCCAAGTCTCAAAGATGAAATATTCAGAATATGTACAGGACATTTACATTTATTATCATTAAATCTCACTAATTTTTTGAGAATAATAATTGGGACAAAGGAATTTCATAGGAAATGACCAATAACAAAGTTTATGTGTATTAATCTATCTGTTTTTAATATGACAACTTGAGACATATTGTACAGACAAGGCAGAAAGAAGCAAGGCCAGTTGCAAATGTGAGTCTTACAGATTCCAACAGTGTTTAGTCTCTATGTTGGTCATCAGGCGATTAGGTGAGAAGGCCAGAGAAAGGGAAAACAGGTTTTGGAACTGCTAAAGGTCTATACAACTGGGCTATGTGGCAAATCCTATCACTACCTGGGGAGGAGTAGCTATCAGATGTACACAGAAGAGGAGTAACTAAACAGGAAGTTATGCAAAAAGACACATCCGCCTAGCATTCATTCAATGAAATCTACTGAAAGAATATTAAAATGATAATATTTGATCAGAATCGCAAAGTTAAGCTTACAGTAATCAGACAACAGCATACAAGGCAATTCTCTAAACTGAGATCTCCTAACACTCCTATAAACAGTTCACCTACCTATATAAGGTAAAACATGAACATGAAAATAAAAGCCACTTATTTACAGTGCAGTCTGAGGCCTTCAAATCAACTCTATCAATAACGGGCAGCTGAAGAAGGGAGAAACATCTACATGATTACAAATCAACATCAAATTTCTAAGAGATCTGAAGAATACTGAATAATATCTTAGTATATCAGTGCATCATACAGTGTTCTCAAAACCACAAGATATATTCAGCTTCATAGGCTATTTGCAGAAAACAACAAAGAACATCATGTCTTCCAAGGAATTAAAATCATTCTATGTAAACTCTTCAACAACACTGGAATAATATTAGAACTGAATTGTAGTAACACATTTAGGATACTCCTAAGAATATGAGATTAAATTGCAAGTTTTAAATGACACAGTTCAAGTGAAAAGCTTGATTAAACATTGAGGATTTCAAGACACCAGCAATTATATATACATCTTACAATTGTTTCAGAG